CCTTGGGGAGTATCAGGATACGATATGCCAACCTGGGACGCTGACCTGCCCACACAAAAGACACGAACAGGCGCCTCAGATGGGAGAAAAACGACTGTGGTACATGGATAGGCATTGCCTGGATGATGTACAGGATCCTAGGAAGCACTGTCATCTTCAGGGCTGCACAGCGGCCAAACCACGATAACGTCAGGCTCTGCCAGTTGGAGAGATCTTGTTTAACAGCATGAAGCAGGGGTACCTAGTTTTCGACGTGCAACTGTCCAGGGTCCGCGGTTATGCGCACACCCAGGTGGTTTAGAGATGACTGGGCCCAGCGAAACTGGAAGGAGGAACGCAGTCTATCTACCTCCGCGGGGGGCAAAGTGATGTTGAGTGCCTCCGACTTGGCCTGATTAACCAAAAAATTGGAGATGGCACCATAGGTATCGAAAGCTCGCAGGAGGGGTGGCAATGAGGTCATTGGCCGGGAGACAAAGAAGACCAGGTCGTCAGCGTATGCTGCTAGTTTATGGGCACCTGATGGCACTTGTAATCCCTCAATTAAATCATCCGCTCTAATAGTACATAGTAGAGGCTCCAATGTGAGAGCAAATATGAGCGGGGACAAGGGGCATCCTTGGCGGGTACCATTGGAGATGGGGAAATATTTAGAGCGAGTTTCATTGACTCTTACCGCCGCAGTTGGGGACGAGTATAAGGCCATGATCCATGCACGCATATGCGCTCCTTGTCCGATGTGGCCTAAGGTGGCCTCCAAGAATCGCCAGTCCACCCGATCGAACGCCTTTTCGGCATCGATGGATAGGAGCAGGAGGGGGCAAGGGCTGCGTCTAGCAGCATGAATAATGTTCAGGACTCTGGAGGTGTTGTCCCTTGCCTCTCTCGCCGGCATATATAGATATATATTTCCCTGCAGATTAGACTATTCCACATGCATGTATTCAGGAAACATAATAATACAAAAAAATCACCAATTCCCAGCTTCATATTTATTGATTATTTGCTCCTTAGGATATAGCACAACTTCTTAGGTTAATTTCATTTCATTACAGGGCAGGTAGGTTAAAAAAAAACTCCTGAGGGTAGAGTATCTTCTATAAATGATTTTACAGCTTTGCCAATTTACTTTGCTCATCAATGATTGTCAGTAATATGAGAAATGACAAAAGTCCTCTTAATATTTACCAAGTGCAATAAATCACATTTTTCGGCTTTTTTTCTTTTCAGAAATATTTGTTTTTGCACCTAATTGAAACTTAAACACCTTAGAAGGCTTCTCTGCAGCCAAGTCCTTTTTGTTGTTGCAGTCATCCATGCTCATAAATAAATACAGTTAACAGAAGTGTGAGCACAGCCACATAATGTGTGAAGTGTTGAGAGACCAGAAGAGTGATAACAAAAAAGTCACATAATGAAACTTTAAAAGCCAGATCTGTCTCCTCCATCCATTAAAAAAATAATTTCTAACTGTCCTGGATGGCTGGTGTGATGCACCTCTGCCATGGCATTGCTTGTCATGGAAAGGGTACTGTATTCTTGACATTTTTTGCAATCCCCCCAAGCTGCCTTTTTTTTTTCTTTCATTTTCTCTCACCCTCTCCCTCTGGATGGGCTAATTCGACCCAGAACTGCGCACGGACGAGGTTTGCTTCCCCTTAGCACTTTTCTTTCCCCCTAGCACTGCCTACGTCCCATTGTAGTTTACTTGCACACTTAATCTTCGGCTCTCTTTTAAAAAGAGGAGGGGGTGTGCAGGGAGAGAGGGATAGGGGGAGGTTAAATCAGTGACATGATCGGTGTAGTGAGGGGAGTCTGACAGAAGCAGCCAGTCCTAACAGTGCGCAGCCTGGGAGTAAGAGACTAGGCAGTATTCTATAGGGGGGAGTCATTTGATTTACAGTAACCTACACAACAAGGCTCTCTGCCCCCAATAAGTCTGATGAGCTCTAGACAGACCACCCTCTGATGCTGGAGAACTCTGCCTTTGGATGGTACCCTGGAAAAAGTTTGGATGTGAAGTGCTCCAACACAGTACCCTGGCACCCTCTCCTGTATACCTGTGAGCCTCTTCTGCTGTGGAATCCCAGATGGCTAGCGGTGAGACAGGACCTCTGATGGATCTGTTCCCTGTGTAGGACACATTGCAAAGAAAAGGTGGCTGGGTTGTCCCTGTGGTTTTTTTTTTTTTTTTGGAAAGTGACAGATGATCCCAGGATTACCAGCGCCACATGTGTGCAGGAGTTGGGTTTCTGGTGGCTTGTCTGGTCAAGGCTTGTGTCTCCTCAGATGTCCAAGAACTTAGGTTCCTCCACGCAATATGCTACCTGCATCAAATCCAGGGAGCCTGCCTGCTGACTCTACCCCACCAGCTGTAAGTTACTCTTCTGTCTATCTCAAAAAGCACAAACAGTCCTGTGTTATCATCCTGTTTCACTAATTGTCCGGTCGACTTATCTCTGGAAGTCCTTGTGGATTGTGTTTGCTTTTTTTTTTTGGATCACTGGGAAGAGAAGAATTTGGAGGACACTGCACTCCATACTAAAGGACTTAGAGGGGAAATCATTACAAGGTTACTATGCAATTGCGACTGCTTTCTTTGTGTTTGATCATTGTGAACTTCTTGGAATACATTGAGAGCCAACACATCCCTAGAGGGAGGCGACATCGAAGAAGTAAGTGTCACTTGCTCAAGCATTCACCTGTTGTGCGTATGACTTGTGTGGCTATCGATTTCTAGCGCTTCATTCTTCATCCTTTATTCTCCTAGGGATGGCAAGGTGCTCTTGTCCCTTTGGGGTGACTGTCCATAGACACAGGTCAAATTGAGACTATAGGTTTCCATAGGCAACTGATTCACTTTTGCTCCAGTCTTTGTAAAGGAATAGTATAGGGTTTGGTGACCCCAATGAGATCTGTCTATGGTGGACTCCTGGCATTTGGTACCTGGCTAGAAGTCTTTTAGCTAATGTTCTTCTGTTTATACTATACATAATATAGTTCTAGTGATGGGTATTATATAAGAAATAAACTACTGATCTCTGGTGTTCAGGAGCACATGCTTGCACATACTTCTACTAACAGGTTCTGTCCATGAGTTGGGGTGAATTAAACGAGTAAAGGACAATATTCATTTACTGCAGTTTAAAAGTTTAGCTGCAACTAGTATAATTATATCAGAAAGGTAGACAATCCTCTTCAGAGTTCACTCGATTTAAAGTCCCTAACCAAATACATGTAAATCTAGTCAAATATAGTAATATATAGCAAATTCTGCAGGTACTGAAAGATGTGGGGGCAAAAAATAGCATTTGATTTGAAATTCTGCACCCCTCTTATCAGATACATATGGAGTTTGTCTTGTTTTGAGTGAGCTGGTTAATAGTTGAAACATATACAGTTTCACCTTATTACCGATGGATCTAGGCAATTTAAATGTATAAGCCCAGGACCACACCAGTGGTAGACATTCAGCTACAGACCAATGGAGGCTGCTGTGTATTAACTCCTATAAAACAATGTAGATCCACCTCTGCCAGTTCTCCTATAGCCTTTGGAGGTGCTTGCACCACCCAGTCATTTTCTAACCCCAATGGATTTGCCATGGACTGTTATTTGGAAGCATTAACCTTTGTGGGGAGGACACCGTTTTGTCCCGCACGCACAGCTTATGCTAATACCTAACACTGATGGGACACTATCAACAAAGTCTTGTAATGTCTCCTGATGATAACAAAGACATGGCATTGAATGGGTTAAGTTTATTTGCTCAGCATATCTTTGGTGATCGCTGGTAATTAGTTTGTAATTGCAATGTCTCTCTACTCGCTAGCAAATCCTATTACAAACGAAATCATTGCCTGAATGCCTCTGAGGTTGTCTGTAACGAAGATCCCATCCGTACAAGATGTTTGCAGTTATCCCAAGCAGCACATACCTCGTTTCTAGATATCTGATTTACTTCTTGAGGACTCCTTGACACACCCCTTGGCTGCCGGAAAGAGATCTGGAGATTATTATTTGCAAGGAGTTTACTTATAATAAATGGTTATATTCCAGCATCCAGGATCTGGCAGTGGTTGCATGCATATCTCTCTACCTGCCCCCTATGGCTTTCAAAAGTGGCGACAGACAGATAAGCTTGGCTAGCACAGGGTCATAAAATGCAGACCTGGCGACCAAGGCAGGCTTACCTTGTGCTGTCATCCTCTGTGTTCCTGGTGAGGGTACATGTCAATCAGATTAAGATAGTGGTAATAAAAGTCAGGAAATTCCAGGCATTCTCCCTAAGAATATTTGATACACGTGTGTGATTTCCTTAGATGCATTGCATCCCTTCTTTGTAGTGCCATGTTGCCTGTCTCTCCCTAGATGATTAGGAAGGAAGGTCCATGTGTTATCCTGACTTGTTTGCTATAATACCAGCAGCTCAGCAAGAGACCTCAGTGTGTTTCTCCCAAACTGCTTACAGATGGTACATGAAGTGTGGAAAGTGTGTGAGGGAAGTGATGCCCTCCAGCAGGCAAGAGCAACTTGTTTCTCTAAGCCAGCCCTTCTCAACTAGGGTTTTGTAGAACCCTAGGGTTCTTCCAGAGGATGCTAGGGGTTCATTGAGAAGAGGTAGATATTTATCTCACACTTATACTAATCATCAATGTAACTGACTTACACACTTCTACACTGACCAGCACTATAGGGTCACTTCTACACTGACCAGCAACATAAGGGGTCATGTCTATGCTGACCAACAATATATAGGGGGACATTTCCACTGTCTGCTAATACAAGGGGACACTTCTCCAATGAACAGCAACATTAGGGGTCACTTCTATACTGGCCAGCGATATAAGGGGGAACTTTTCCACTGTTCACTAATATATTAATATAAGGGGGCACTTTTCCACTGACAAGCAAAATAGGGTCACTTCTGCACTGACTAGCTATATAAGGAGTCATGTCTATGCTGACCAACAATATAATGTGGGACTTTTCCACTGACTGCTAATATAAGGGGACACTTCTGCACTGGCCAGTAATATAAGGGGGCACTTCTCCACTGACCAGCAATATAGGGTCACTTCTACACTGACCAGCGATATAAGGGGGAACCTTTCCACTGTCTACTAATATACTAATATAAGGGGGCACTTCTCCACTGACTAGCAATATATGGTGTCACTTCTACACTGACCAGCAACATAAGGGGTCATGTCTATGCTGACCAACAATATATGGGGGGACATTTCCACTGTCTGCTAATTCAAGGGGACACTTCTCCAATGAACATCAACATTAGGTTGTCACTTCTATACTGGCCAGCGATATAAGGGGGAACTTTTCCACTGTTCACTAATATATTAATATAAGGGGGCACTTTTCCACTGACCAGCAAAATAGGGTCACTTCTGCACTGACTAGCTATATAAGGGGTCATGTCTGTGCTGACCAACAATATAATGGGGAACTTTTCCACTGTTTGCTAATATAAGGGGCACTTCTCCACTGACCAGCATTATTAGCAGTCACTTCTACACTAGCCAGCGATATAAGGGTGAACTTTTCCACTGTCTACTAATATACTAATATTATTTTATTTAATTTCATGATTAATATTGAAAATATCTTTGTCATATCTAGCAAGGGGGTGTTGTAAAATGATATGCCCTGAAAGTATAGCACATTCTTTATTATTTATTGATCACACTAATGTATACATTGAACTGTAGGTATAATGTTTAGCAGGGGTTCCCTGGGAGCTGAAAAAAAGGTTCTTTCAGGGTAAAAAGGTTAAACGGCTGCTCTAAGCTTTTCCTAACTGATCAAATCTCCAGACTTTGCCTTGTTAAGCATTTGTGGATGCAGTGTGCTGGGAATGATAGAAGCGTGTGTGGCTGGGAGATAACTCTTAGAGGCTCATGTTATCATCCCAACATCCTATAGAAATGGTGAGGCTGATTGTTGAGAAACAATAAATTGTGTGAATATTCACTTCAATTATCCAATCATGTGAAAAGCAAAGTCTTGCTTATTCATTTCATCTGAGCATGATTGGATAATTGAAGCAAATTTTCACACAATTTTTTTTGAGAATATTTTCAACCCTTTTAGTAAATCAGCCCAGGTGCTAGAGGTTGTACTCTGCTGTCAGGATTTGTCTAAATTCTAATACAATACTAAAATGTTATAACTGAGCCTTACAGCTCAAAACAATAGCCTGCTAAAATTGTCACAAAAGTATCTTTGTAATTCTATGCTCTATCCATCACATTCATCTTCACTATCTTCATTGCTGTATATTTAGTAGTTTCATCAGCTACATATAAGTCATGTAGACATAATGAGGATGATTAACTAAAGGAGTTGAGAACCTTCACTCAAAAAATGTGTGAATTGCAATTGAATTGTGATTGGAAATTATTTAGTAAATCAGCTCTACTCACTTTAGACATGTCTACACCAACTATTATATATTATAGAGTTTGGAAATGCATTAATAGAGTTCTACATGAAGTCGATCTAAAGCCCACTACAGGTAGGGATTCAAGTGTATCTAAAATCAAATGCTTTATTTAATGTTTTGGAGAAATCAAGGAAGGGTTAAACCCATTTGGAGCTTTTTGCTATATGAGTCCCATTGAGGACATTTCCCTACACTTCCTGCCCTGGAGTCACAACAACAGTTAATTGGAAATCCCCTCTTAGACAGTTGTCTGCAGAATAAATGTCCCCCTGACAGTCGTCACCAAGACCATTAGAGAGGGTGACAAAACAAACAAAAAAAGGTTTTTGCCTTTAGATACACTTTAATGGTACCTCAACGTGCCTGATTTTAAACAGTATTACAAAGCAGCTCAATTAGTTAGGCTCCTAGACTGGACGTTCAATGCCTCCCATAAAGGATGGGTGACATTAGAAGTAGACTTGAGTAATACCCACCTCTCAGAATGTATCTGGACTCCACCATATACGCGATAGGAAAATGGTTGTTTTGGGGATTGGTGTGGACAGGGACAGAAATGTGTAAAATTGTCACTTTGTTACAAAGTGAATCAACATTTCTGAAATGATACTTTGGGTTATATAAATGCATGATCCACTGTGTAGGTGGAGTAGTGAACTGTTATTTAGGTTATAAGGAATACAAAAAAAAAAGATATGTAGGTAGGGATTCAAGTGTGTCTGTCTATCTATCTATCTATCTATCTATCTATCTATCTATCTATCTATCATAATATCAGGGCAAGTAGATAGTGCCAACATCCTTCAGGAAACTTTTGCCACCTGGCACTTTATTTTTAATATTAGCAAAATGCAATTGTGCCTTATACTTTGCCAAGAACTTTTTTTCAAATATATTTTTCAAGAGCTTTAATTTTTCTTTTGATGTGGTTATATAGTGTAAGCATTGCTACCCAATAACATAGGTATTTGAAGCTAGCATCATCTTGACAGTGGATGGTGACTTTAAAATATATCAGCAATGGCCAGTTTATCAGTTCAATTTCTCTAAATCATTACATTTTGTGTTTTGAGTTACTTAGCTCAGTTTCACTTAAAGAAGACGGATGTCTATCTTTAAGTAACTCAGTTAAAGGGGAATCTGAATCCTCAGCTGTTCTCCTGCTCATTTTCATGTTATACAAGCAGAAAACACGTGATAATGTGGTGTGTAATA